AAATTTTCTCTTTATTTCTTTTTCTCCCTCAGGTTGTATTGAAGCTCCATTAAAATGATGGCACATTATACCTTGGTATATGATTAAACAAGACAGTGGTTGTCAAGACAAGATCTGCTGTAGGAAAGAAAGAAATAAGGAGAATAATGAGACAAAGATTATTACTATAGTGGCTCTAGATATTATTCATTATATATATTGTACGAGTAGTTTTATGGTGTATAGCTACGCATCATCATTTTAAAAGACAACATTATGTCATCCAACTCCATTTAGCTATTATGAAGTCATGCAGTCAATCACTTATTGTATAGTTTTAATGCTTAGTGTTTTGTGATAACTATCATCCACACACCATCTGTTGTAATAACTAGTAGTGTCCATACTACCATACTACCCATAGTGTTATTTATGGCATATGGTGGGTTGATAGGAGTGTTATAGGAAAGAGAACAACACAGCAAAATTTTGAAGCAATTTAATGTTGATAAGGACACTAGCTAGACCTTTCTTATTATCTCTACTGACACAATGGCTACCCCTTGTGTTCTCTGGTGTCTTGTGTTGGCTGATCTTATTTTACTGTCATCTGGAGCAGAGCTAGTTCAAACCTCTCCATCTTATACCCCACTCTGTCCTGGTGATAGACTAGTACTCACTTGTACAACTACCACTGGAGCTGCATTTTGGAAAATACCTGGACATGACAATCAAGCAGAAGAAATATTAGGACCAACAACTATTGAAGGACTTATGCTTAATGTTACCAATAAGGATGGTAATACAGTAACAAGTACTGGTATCTATCAATCAATATCAGTGTCGTTAAATGGATCCCAGGTTTCTTGTGCTAGAGAAAATTCAATTATTGATCCTCAATTTGTTACAATTACTATTAACATAACAGGTATATTTATTATTAATTCACATATACCGATTATACCAATAAATAATAGATCCACCAGTAGCTGTGACTGATATAAGCATAAATCCAATTAATGATAGTTCAATATTTATTACTTGGTTGTATCAACAGAACATACAATGTATAGCGAACTATACTGTTATGATTAATGTCGGTAATGTATCTTCTCAATACAGCTCTATTGAGAAGAGTGCGATTTCAGCTCTGAGAACTGATCTTAGCTAGAGCGATGACACCCAGCTATCCTCGGACCGTCGAACTCCTAGGTCAAGAATGGGTAAAGATCGAGATCAGGAACAGCCCTCTGACTCGTCCACTATCACCGTCGTCCTTCCAGATAGGGGAACTGGATCGTAGAATTGACTGTTGACAACAAATTCAGGTTGGGGAGTCGATACTCCAAATATCTTTTGTGAATGAAATAGGTCAAAGACCTTCCTCTCTCTCAACAGTATCAACAACAGTGAACAGTCGACAAAAAATAATAAAATGGTCGTATTTATAGTTTGACAATCCATGAATAATAATTATTAATAATCACTAATAATCGATAATTAATCATCAGGAATCTTGAAGATTCCACACACTCCCCACCTTGAATAGTAACACTATTCAACACTAACAATAATAATAATATCAACAATAATAATAATAAAATTACAACTAATAACACATAATTAAAACATTACAATTAAGGATCTCTTTCTCATAGCATAAAGCCAGTAGTAATTACATACACAAAAAAAAACAAAA